TAACCTCTTGCTGCTGCTGCTGCTGCACGTGCTCCTGCTGTTGCCACTACTAGGACCTAGGACTACGGCCACTGCTACTGACGAAGATGCTGCTGCTGTTGATGATGATGTTGATGATGATGATGATTCCTTTGGGCCTGTCTTCTACAGGGAGGGTTGATGGTGAGACAACCCGGAGGCAGGCTCAAAGAAATCCCAAGCTATGATGATGATGGTGATGATGATGATGACGATGATGCTGCTGATGATGATGATGATGGTGATGATGATGAAGCCCCTTGGCCCGAGTGATTTTGGAACTCTCTTGGAATATGAGCCATGGATCGGCGGGAGGCAGCAGTGGTGCCAACAGCCGGACACCACCCAATGCCCTGGATGAGGAGGATGCTGGTCGTGCTGGCCGTGCTCCAGACCGGGAGCCTGCTGTCCGGAGATCATCAGCAAGGCTGTACGACGGCAATCCTGCCCGAGGCCCCGATGTGGAAGCCAGGCGAACAAGCCGGAGTCGTTCCCCGCCTAGGGGACCGCCTCCACCACCTGGTGCTATCCTCCGACCACCTGCAGGTTCGAGGCGCAGGGACCACAACGAGCCTCACACCGAAAGCTCTCCGTCGCTGCCCAGCTCTCAGTTTGTGGTCTCCGGCGACAGCTCACAAGAGGAGAGCGATTGCAGCTCGAGCTTCTCCCTCATTCTGCAAGCCGGCCCTCTGGACGAGGCGAAAGCCTTCCTGCAAGGATTATATGCCAATCAACTCGGCGAACTTCACCCGACACTCAGTGCCCGCTCGAAAGCTGGCAAAATGGCGTGGTATCAACGAGATGTGGCAGCGATCGACTGGAACACTCTTTGTGCCAAGGCCGATCAGTACCTGCAAGGAAGTTGGTTGGTGCAATGGCAGAACTGGAAGATGGCCAATGCTCGTGGGCGGCGCCACGCCGGAGAGCCAAGGGCATAAGACAGCTGCCATTTTCTGGTGGAAGCAAACAAGCACCCCCTGGCGACCACATCTTCTGCGAGCCTCCCAGTTCCAGCTCTACGCCTCCCGGGTTACTAGGCGACACCGTAGGATGGCACGCTGGACCTGCCATTTCCAACCTCTCTCCCTAACCAGGGCGTGGATACGGCACCGCCCGCGCGCAGCTGCTGGCCCTGCCAGCCACAGCCATGCAGGCTGGTCGCCTGACATGCCTGCCTTCCCATCCCCCATACCTTGGGCTCATAACCATATCTCCCCTAAGTCCCCTAGACCTCTCCATAGGAAACATCACTCAAGTAAAGGCCAACCCGGTCCCAAGTCCGGGGCTAGTCTCAGTACCATCGTTGTCTTAGCTTTGTGCCAGCAGACTAGTGGGGTGAGGGTTGTCCCTGACGTCGTGGCAGGGACTGGACCCGCTTCGGCGGGGAAGCGACACGGCGACACGCCAGTGGGCGACCCCGCGTTCACATACCTCAGGCAGCACAAGAGGGCCTTTCGTAGGGCGAGAACCCGAGCGGAGACCTCGCCGCTGGGGGGCACATACTATAAAGGTCGGTGGCACACCCCCAAGACCCTTAATGCCCTTGTAGGCCGGCAGCAACCCGCCAACAGGAATCCCAGAGCCGATCGCTGCTCTGCCGGCTCCAGGCAGGTCCGACCGTTGCGGTTGTTATGCTGGAATGCAAGCAGCCTATCAGGAGGTATTTTTCAAGAACTCATGACTTGGCTAGACCATCATCATTCTGCCAATCAGTATCATCTAGTCGTGCTGCAGGAAACACACTGGAAAAACACAGCCGATTTCAACAGTGGGCAGTGGCAATGTGTACATAGCCCAGGTTACGATTCCCCGAAGCACCCTGAAAAGTCAAGCGGGATCCTGGTGCTTGCCTCAAGGAAGCATCTACAAGACCTCTCCGTGAAGGAGCTCCACCCGGGGAGGCTGCTTCAGCTACAGGCCACGTTGCGGTGCACTAATAGACCTCTGACCATCTTTGTGATCTATCAACATGTGTGGCGGACCCATCTGACTGCAGCTGAGAATCACAGCCTTCGTGAACCAATCTGGCAAGCCCTTGAAGAGGCCTGTGCAAGGGTTCCCAGTAGGCATCACCTGTTAGTGGCCGGTGACTTCAATAGTACCCTTAAGCCCCAGCCTCCCTACATAGGCCATGCCTCGACCCCCTCTGATGCCTACAATCATTCTAGAGAATTGCAGCAGCTTGTGGTTGACTTGGACCTCTGTGTGTTAAACACCTTCAGCAGTAAACCCCGGCACACCTACTATTCAACACAAGCCAAAACTCAGATTGACTTCGTGCTCCAGAGACGAACTGAGGCCAGAGGTACAGCCTTTTGCACCAGACCGCTGTATGATTTTCCCGTGGGTGCTGCCAGGGAAACAGGGCACAAACCCTTGCATGCTGAGATCCCTCTGCTTCCCTTCGGCAGGCTGCCAGAGCCACCGAAGCGGCCAGAACCCAGGTGCAATATGCAAGCCCTGCAACAAGCCGTGCAGATGCAAACTGCCCAGGCTCGTGCCATGCTCTGTGACGTCCAGCAACAGCTGGAGGCACCCTGCCCCACTGATGCCAGTCTGTGTCAGCTGCACTCCCATATCAACGCTGTTCTCTTGCGGGCAGCCCAGGAGCACTTTCCCTCGGAGGTTGCCAAAGACATCAGTGCAGATCCCAGGTTCAAAGCCTCGGCTACCCACACATGGCAGTTGTATCGATCCATGCGTCGCCCAGGCCCGCGCACACTAGGCGGCTTGCTGCAGCAGTGGAGGCAACTAGTCCTCTTTCGCCAAGCTTCCAGGGCTCTACGTCAGCAGAGCAGGCAGCTGAAACGAGAATTTTACCAGGAGCAGATCTCTGCTGCTGAACGTGCAGACTCTCAGGGCGACCAGAGAGCTCTCTTCCACATTGTCAAAAGACTTGGGCCTCGCTCAGGTCGGTGCGCTTCCCGTCTTCTCACGGAGGACGGTCACCCGATGACTTCTCAGCAACAGCTTGAAGCAATCGTCTCATTCAGTAAACAAGCCTTCGCCTCGAAGGCTGATGCTGAGCTGCCTCCTCCTTTGGAGCATGGCCTAGATCTCGAGATACCCCTACTTCAGCACAAGCTGTCCAAAGTTGGGATCCGTAAGGCTGTGCCCCCGCACATTGCTCCAGCAGCAATGTGGAGGCTCTGCTCAGGCCCGGTGGGAGCCCTACTGGGCCCTGCCCTCAATAAGCACTACTCCCAAGGTCAGGTTGCGAGTGCTGAGGGGGACTGGAAAAACACCAATGTGATTTGGTTGCCAAAGCCACATAAGAAGCCGATCACAGTGGCCTCCATGAGGCCCATTGGCCTTCAGAGCCCGGCGACAAAGTCCTTTGCCAGTGCCTTAAAAGTTGCAGTGATGGAGCATCTCCAGCCTGTTGTCCGAGAGCTGCCGCAGTATGCTTATCTTCCCCACAGGGGCACCACAGATGCATTACTCAAAGTTCATCAACACTTTGAGCAAACAGCGGCCCTTATCGCTGCCAACAGAATTGATAGATTCCAGCAGAAAGCAGGGAAGCAGAGATCAGCATGTGTGGGGGGAGTCTCCTTATCCTTGGACCTCTCCAGTGCATTCGACGGGGTACACCGACCCACTGCCTACCACACCATGCTGCAACATGGTGTTGATAGAACCACTGTGAACATCATTCAAAGCCTGCACCAGCAGGCTCAGTACCATTTCACAGTAGGCGGCTGCACTGACTTCGTATGCACGACAAACGGCATAAAGCAAGGTTGCACTATAGCCCCGAGCATCTGGGCATTCTTCACTGTGGCCGTAATGCTGAAATTGGTTGAGGCAAGAAGCATGGAGTGGCTGCAACAAGTCTGCACGCTCTTCGCAGACGACTGCTGGGGCAGCTGGCTCATTCGCACAACCTCCGATGTCACTCGTGCAATCGCTGACATTGCACACATCATAGCTGTGCTTGAGGACTTCCACCTCAGTGTCAACTACCAGAAAACCGCGATTCTGCTGCGCCTCGAAGGCAAGCAGGCAGCACAAACCCTGGCTGGCTGCACGGTAGAAAAAGAAGGCAACACCTACCTGGAGGTGGACATCAGAGGTGTCATCAGGCTCATACCGATCAAATCCCAGCATGAGTATCTGGGAACCACTGTCTCGTATCACCACAGACAGGATAACAACACCGCCAAACGTATGCAGGCTGGCCAGCTCCGCTACCAAGACATCCGCTGGATCCTGAATGGCCGCCATGTCCTTACCATCAAACAGCGTACCTCACTGTGGCGCTCGTGTATTTACAGTAGCCTCATTTACTCAGTTCCAGTGGTGGGGCTGACACCAAAAAGCAACAAGAAACTCTACACGCAAGCCACCAGACACCTCAGGGCGATTGCTCGACAACCTGCGCACCTACATCACACCCCAAACCGTAGCATATGGGATGCCAGTGGATTGCAGCCACCAGCGGCTCTCGCGCAACAGCTTCTCCAAAAACATCGTGACAAGCTGGCACAGAACAGCATCCACAGCCCCGACATCACAAACTCCAAGGACACAATTGCTTATGTTGACTCCCTCCTTGAGCGTCTTGGTCATCTCCCAGTTCACCCTCTTGCTACCTCATACCACAACAATCCCACCGACTGTACCCATACGTGCCCCCAATGTCAGCAGCAGTTCCCCACTGAGAATGCGATGCGTATCCACTGCAAGCTTCAGCACTCCGTGCTACCTGAACATAGCACCAGAACACCTACTGACTTCATCGCCCATGTTCATGCCAAGGATGGGCTCCCGCAGTGCTCGCTGTGCCTCAGGCGGTTCTACAGGTGGGGCAACCTTAAAGCCCATATACGCACAGGTGCCTGTGAAAAGCTTGGGGGGGATGCTGCCACCAGGTACCCTGCCAAAGAGACGGCTCCTGCGGAGCCGCAGCAGTCACCAGTGACTGAATCGGCTCAGGCACCACAAAATCCAGGCCGCCCCAAGGCTACAGAAATTGAGCCTCAGCCATCAGCTTTACCACTTGCTCTACGCCTGACTTTTCATGCTGCCTTGCATAACTGGGAGCTGCAGCTCAGCACCGCCGATGCACGCAAGGAACTGGCTCAGTACTGTGTTCTCTGTGGCATGTGGATAGCTGATACCAAGCACGTCAAGCAACATTACAACAAAGTCCATCATCAAAACATGCCGGACTTGCAATCCAAAGCCCTTGTTCTCTGCACCACCTTTAAAGCACAACTCCGGAGAGACAGTAGCTGCCGCTTTTGTGGTGTCAAAGTTGGGGCACCAGGCCGACACAGTCAGCAGTGTGCTGTGCTTTTTCAGCTTTGCATTGCAGTCACCTTTTGCAGGGATGGCCGACACAGACGCCCAGCTGACGGAGGACATCTTCCAAGCCTGCTTCCCCAGCGGCCAGACCCCGCTGCTGCAATCACCTGTGGACCCGACTCAGTCCTTTCCGAACAAGAGGCCACGACCGGAGTTCCGATCACGAGCGCGACCGGGGGACCGAAGGGGACATCCTATGTATCACTCCAGTCCCTTCCAAACACCCATGCCCTCCAGCGCGGGAATCTCAGGAGATACCTTCACTCAGGTGTGTCGTCTCTTGCTTCGCCACGAGGAGCAGCTGGCGCTGATCAGGCAGGACCGAGGCCTGATAGTGTTCGTGAAGCAGGATCAGCACAGCATCCTCCCAGCCCTCTACAAAGCCTCAGCTGCATGGAACGAGAAAAAGGAGAAAGCAGCCAACCTGGAAGCAGGCCTCTCCTTGAAGACCGTGCTGCTCTCTTGTGTCATTCGAGAACTCCTGTCGAGACTTCAAACTGTCACGTCGACAGAGGATGGCAAGGCGAAGCTCCTTGCAGCGGGCTGGATCAACAGCGAGGGTCACTGGGTTTATCAGCGATGGTGTGCGAAAACCAAACGTCTCATTCGAGACGAGAATCGCACCCCCCTGACTCACGACAATGCGGTGAGGTTGCTCACTGCGTTGAGGGACTCGCTCAATGGCGACATCATCCACAAGTTTGCGGCAACCCAACCTCTTTACAAGCTGGAGGAAGCCGGGCACCAGAGTGCAACCTTCTTCTTGGAAGTGTCCCTCCGGGGCAAGGAGTCCGACCTCGTGCATGCCATGCTTCTTCAGTTGGTCAACAGCTCGTTGACCCACTTGATAGGAATATCAGTGAAACGAGAAAACGGCCAACGCTGCAAGTTGGCCCAACAAATCGCGGAGCTTGCATTCCGAGGGTAGACCAGGGCCAGGACCAAAGGGGCGAAGACACTACGGCCACACCGGCGCCATCTGTGTCAGGCTCTCAGCGCCATCCGCCGTTTCGTCTCGCCAATCCTGGCAACCACTGTTACCTCAATGCATACTTGTACTCACTTTGGGTTGCCTCATACCATAGTGGGGTTCAGAATCTTCTGCCTCAGGTCGCGGGGGATGTGAACGAGCCTGTCTTGGCTCGTCACCTTTTTGGGTTTCAACTTCTGGGGTGGCCGCGACCCGAGCAGCAGCACGACATCGCAGAGCTGATTGATTTCTTGAATCCGCGTCTGTCGTTGCAGCACATCGTTGGTCAGGTCGAATGCCGACAGCACTCGAGTGATGGGGTTGCGAAGCAGCTCGAGGGCTCAACAACCAAATGCATCCGGCTCCTTAAACCGTCTAAGCATAGCCCCAACCTCCAGGACCTTATCAAATTTTGGTTTAGTCAGGACTTCAGGTATGCACTGACCAAGCCGGACCCCTGGTTGTTTCTACAGCTCCCACGGTTTGCACAAGCCGATGGCCGCATCAGTAAGGGCAGGCAAGTGTATCACTGTGCACACCAGCTTGACATGCCGATTTTTGCTGATGTGTCCACGCTACAAGTTAGATGGGCAGCATACCAGGTTGTGGGATATATCCAACACCACGGCAGAACGGTTGATAGTGGTCACTATACCATGGTACAGGCCTGCCCCTCCGAAGCCTCAGAGCATATGCTCTGGCAGTTTGATGATGAAAAAAGCCCTTGTCTCATCACGGCTCAGTCTCGCGAGAAGCTGCAAAGGAACATGTACATTCTGGTTCTAGCCCTGACAGCTGCTCATACCGAACCGATTTCGTGTAGCTCCAGCCATGTCCATTCGCAGGCTGGCATTAACACAGAACAATCTGGATTGGGCGGCCACTCGCTTACAGAATCAGGAGGCTACCATCTTGCAGCTTCAAGCGGACCTTCGACGTCAGCAAAAGATTATGCTGGATATGCTGATGCGACTGCAGATCTTGGAACAGAAGCTTCTACATCACGGTCGCAACAGCAAATGTCCTGAAAACACACACGAGGATGGAAGGCTTCAAACTCCCACCCATCTTGAAGAGATGGACGAGTGAAGTCTGTGACGTCGCAAGCATCAGCAAGCCGTGAAAGAGGCTCAGGTGCACTTTTTTTAGGGTCGCTCACCACGTGAGCCTTCGTGCCAAGCTACTTAAAGTGGCCGTCATGCCAAGGAGCATGATGTAGGCGTCGTTAGTAAGAGACCTTCTTACTGCGTTGGAAAGAGGTGATGATGATGATGATGACGATGATGCTGCTGCTGTTGCTGATGATGATGATGAGGCTGCCTGAAAAATCATCAAGCTCTGTTATCCTTCTTCTTTGGGCCTCCCTGGGTCTTGAGGCTTTCGCGCTTGAGGTAGTTCAGACTTTCAGAACAAGGGAAATCCGAC